TCTGTCCTGGTTGCCCCTCTTCCATGCCAGCTCTTTGCTGTGGCCCGGGAGTGTAGTGGAGGATGGACCAAGTGCTTGGGCCCTGCACTCGCATGGGAGACCAGGAGAAGCACCTGGCTCCTGGCTTCTGATCAGTGCGGTGTGCTGGCTGCAGTGCACCAGCCACGGCAGCCATTGGAGGGTGAACCAATGGCAAAGGAAGACCTTTCTCTGTCTCTCTCTCTGTCCACTCTGCCTGTCCAATAAAAAAAGTAACAACAGGAGTCACTGTACACTTACTCCCCATGCAGAACCTCTGTCCTCAATGAGTTGAGAATTAACTGTAAAATTTGTTTTCAGTTTGTGTGTGTGTGTACAAATTGTTGAAATCTGCTTAGTATAGAGTTGATCTTCTGTGTATAAAATTAATTGAAAGTGAATCTTAATGGAGAATGGGAGAGGGAAAAGGAAGTGGGTTGGGAAGAATCACTATATTCCTAAAGTTGTATTTATGAAATTTGTACTCACTAAATAGAAAGTTCCTTTGGGGAAAAAATCACCTCCTCCTATTCCTTAAAAAAATAATAAAATAAGCACTAGTGCACCCATAGTAATCCCAGTACTCCCAACCCTGAGAGTGCCTTGTAAACCAGGATTCAACAGTGAGGGCAGAATAGGAGGGTGCTGCTCCAAGTCCTCTAGGTCCTCTCCTCAATAGGGAGAAGGTCCATTCCTTACTACTGCCCACGGTGACACACTACAAGAACTGTGTGGGTTCCAGTGCTACCTGTGAGAGAGCATGCACCCTGCCAGGTCCCCTGCCCTCTGCCATGTGAAGGTACAGTAAGCAGGCCCTCGGGCCCAGCCCAAATGTTGGACACGTTGGTCTTAGACTCACTCAGCATCCAGAACTGCGAGAAATATGTTTTTGTTCCTTCAGAATTACTGAGTCTTAGTTACTTTGTTTTAGCAGCAGAAATAGACTAAGACAATAGTCAGTGTCAAACCTAAATGAAAATCTCTCAGCTCATACCTAAGGAATGCCAGCCTGTCAAGACTCAGTTTGATGACAACAGCTGGCTAGATCCTGTCTTACAGAAAAGGTAAATTTTCAAATATCAGACCAAGAAAAGATAGTTACAAGCATAACACACTCAAAGTCTCTGGACCCAGAACCTCTTACTATGTCATTAAAATAGAAAGAGAACAAATCAGGATTCTACATGTTTCCTATTTTTTCCCCTGAGTTTATATGCCCCTTCCAAACTCCAAAGCAGCAGGTACAACCCAGCTGTTCCCAAGAAGCTTCCACCATTGGGTCCTATCTGCACTATTGTTCCTTACCTGGAGATTCTTCATCCTCACTCCTGGGATCATAAATGCTTTCCATGAGCCAATGTCTAGAGACAAAGATACATGCCATAGGTTACCTGAGAGTGTGTCTTGTCCATTCCTCCCTCCATGGGCTCTGTGGACTAGGAGGCCTTCAGCAAGCCATTGATCACAGCTTCAAGCCTTCAGGTGAGAAGAGGGGCTGAAGGCCCCACCACTAAACTTCATACCTTGTCCACTGGATGGTGAAGGCTCCAGCCTCCTATGTGAAAAGTTCACAATTCCGACTATGGCGGACACTTTGAATAGTAGGATTTCAGCTAACAGACTCTGTGCAAGGCTGAGAGTGAGTATTTTGTGAGCAGCTGCCCGAGGCTGAGCTTGTGTATGAGAAGAAATGAAGAGGACACAGTGTCTGCCCTGACAGTGACCAGCTGTGGTCAGGATTCCTGTGTCTATCAGTGCAAGACTTTGGGCCCAGGTATTTCAAGACCCTTTGGAAAAAACACAAAATGAAGGTCCTTGGTTCATATGAGGAGGTTAGCAAGGATACCTGGAGGGAGCCCAAACACCACCCCCCCACCTTGTGTTCTGCAACTGCAGTGGCCCTGTGCTATGACACTCACTTCAATTTAAACATGTCTCTGGCCAGAAGACCCTTGGCCAGTACTATGCAAAAGGACAAGTTGTCAGGTGACCTCCAGAAGCAGGTGATAAATGAATACTGGCCCCTTTTTGGCTCCAGGGGTCAGCTGGGGAACTTTCCTAGGTCTGCCCTCAACCAAAATCTGTCTCAGTGCTGATTCACATCCTGCCAGTGTGAGGAAGAGAAGTAGGCACCTGACTACTGCTGTTTGTCCCTCGTCTCCCTCATCAAGCTCTGTTAGTGTAATTGTCATCATTCCACAGCCAGCTGGAGAATATGTGGAGAGAGGAGAAAGCTCCTTCCAGGATATTAGGAAGATGTCCAGACAGTTCTCGTGCCCAGGCACAAAGGATCCATCCTGCTCATTTCCACTCAGAAGGGGGCCTGGATGTCCTTGCCTGGGTCCAAGTGATGATTGATTCTCCTGACCTTGCTGCCTTGAGGTCCACCCCCATTTCTCCTGGCCTCGGTATCCTTGTGTCTTCATTCTGCCTCTAAATCTTTGCTCTTTTTTAAGGATTTATTTATTTATTTATTTGAAAGATAGAGTTACAGAGAGAAGTAGAGACAGAGAGAGAAGTCTTCCATCTGCTGGTTTACTCCCCAATTGGCTGCAATGACTGGAGCTGCGCCAATCTGAAGCTAAGAGCCAGGAGCTTCTTCCAGGTCTACCAGGGGCCCAAGGACTTGGGCCATCTTTTAATGCTTTCCCAGGCCATAGCAGAGAGCTGGGTGGGAAGTAGAGCAGCCGGGTCTTGAACTGGCGCTCATATGGGATGCCGGCACTTCAGGCCAGGGTGTTGACCTACTGTGCCACAGCACCGGCCCCAAATCTTTCCTCTCTTAAGGTCCAACTCAAGACTCTGCCCTGCTTTCTCTCATACAGCACTTTGGGAAGCTGTTCCAGAATTCTTAGAGCCTCGATTTTTATCTTCAGCACTTTGAGCAAGGTGGGGGGCCTTTGAGAAGCATTGGAAAGCTAGGATCTAGAGATGAATGATTTCTAGGTCAGTTTTTGGGCGTAAACAAATGACCATTTTCAGTGAAACAGTCTCATTGTTCTGTTTTCTGGGAAAATATTGACAACTATGGATAATCAAATTCTACTAAAAGGCAATATTATATATAGAAATGCTTCTTAGAAACTTGTGTATTTTAAAGGCAGAGAGAGACAGAAATCTTCCATGTAACAGCCAGGGCTGGGTCTGGCAGAAGCCAAGAGCCAGTTACTTAATCTGGGTCTCTTACATGGTGCAGACCCACATACATAACCCATCACCACTGTCCCCCAGAGTGTGCCTTAGCAGGTAGCTGGAATCAAAAGCGAGAGCTGGAACCCAACCCACCCTGGGCGCTGCAGTATGGGATGTGGCATCCCAGGTAGTGTTACCTGCCAAATGCCTGCCACTCCAATAGGAATCATAGACTACTGTCGCTCCCCCTCTTCGTGGAGGAACGACACAGAACCCTGCCTAGGCTTCATATCCGAGTCACAGCACCATTATGTCGCTCCCCGTCTTCGTGGAGGAACGACACAGGACCCTGCGCTGTTCTTTTGTCTGCTTGGCCCTCCCCGGGTTTGCTGCTGGTTCTTCCCGGGTTGGCTGCCGTCCCTTCCACCTCCGTGGAAGGGCGGTTCCCCCTGGCCACTTTCCCCACTTCTGCAGGGGAGCGGCACACCGCCGGCCGGCTCTCTCAGGGGCTGCACAGGTGTTCCTTCAGATGTTCCCCTTAGATGTTCCTGGTGCATGTTGTCTCTCTCCTCCTTTATAGTCCTCTTCCACCAATCCCAACTCTGCTACCCACACGCCGAGTACGCTGCTCTCCTCCAATCAGGAGCAAGATCAGCTCCTGCAGCTCAATCAAATTGGCGAGAGGCAGCTGCGTAGAAGTTGTTACTCCCTTCTCAGCGCCATATTGTGGGAGAGCAGATGCATAGAATAAGTCTTTTTTTTTTTTTTAATTTTTGACAGGCAGAGTGGACAGTCAGAGAGAGAGACAGAGAGAGAAAGGTCTTCCTTTGCCGTTGGTTCACCCTCCAATGGCCGCCGCTGCAGCCGGCGCACCGCGCTGATCCGATGGCAGGAGCCAGGATCCAGGTGCTTTTCCTGGTCTCCCATGGGGTGCAGGGCCCAAGCACCTGGGCCATCCTCCACTGCACTCCCTGGCCACAGCAGAGAGCTGGCCTGGAAGAGGGGCAACCGGGACAGAATCCGGCGCCCCAACCGGGACTAGAACCCGGTGTGCCGGCGCCGCAAGGTGGAGGATTAGCCTATTGAGCCACGGCGCCGGCTCTAGAATAAGTCTTAATTCCAGTAACTTAGTCTAGTCCGAGTTGCTCCCAATTGCTCCCCACAGACTACAGTTTGGCTCATTTTATATTTGTGTTAGAACAAACACCTTGTTTTCTTGCAAAGCTCTTCAGAAGCAGCCAACCCTGTTTCAGTCTGGAGGTGCAGTAGGACGTGATGGAGGTTGTTCAGCCTCACGGCTGAGTTTACCTTTCCCCATCTTTCAGTGAGTGTCCAACCCTCTGTCCTTCCAGGAAGGGAGCCACGTGTCCAGCCTGATGCCCAGTCCCCTAATTAAGCCTCTAGTTACTCCTCACAGAAACCACAACTAGGCTAAGTGAGGGAAGGCCAGTTTGTCACTGGAGCGTGGTATTTCCTGTTCTTGGAAGCATTATCTGAGGGTCAAGACTAGACCTCTGTGGAGAGGGAGTGAATTTTCCCCATCTCAGCCTGGAGGCTCCTCCTTTCTCAGATTCCTCCCAGAACTGGGGTCTTAACTGCAGAAGCAAGGAACCCTGCCCAGCTGTCCAAGCTGTAGCATGGCTGGGAAGATTAGTTCTGAGACCTCTGGCACAGGAGACTGGTGAATGGAGGTTAGGGAATGTGCATCAGCGTCCAGTACTGAGGGAGAAAGGGATCTGGCATTCCCGCCATCTCAGCCCCCACAATCACTCCACACAAACAGGTGAGAACAAGGGTTTCTATCACAGTTGAGTCAAACTCATAGTCTAAGGTCAGAGTCTGTCCTGGGCAGAACAGGTGTGAGGGGGAGTCCATGGACTTGACCTGAACTACAGCTCCCAATTGTCAGGCTGAGCATTGGCAGGCTCACCAGCAGCGGCTCCATATACAGTGTCGCACAAAGCAGCTGGGGCCATTGAAGACCGGGAATAGGGTACTGAAGAGGGGGCTCTCTTCCCAGTCCACTGGTGTGGCTGCCACCAAACTGGGCACAATGGCACTGAGGATGGGTGGGCTGACAGAGAAGCCGTGGTTGGGGTCTGGAGTGTACTCGGTCCACGTGAGCAAGGCTCACTCAAACTGGATGGAGATCGTGGTGACTGAGCTGGTGGGCAGCTGAATGAGCATCTCCAGGAGGTGGGGCTGCAGGCAGTCCTGGGCAGGCTGGTAGTGGATGTAACTTGGTTTCTTCTCCTTGCCCTTGGATGTGATGGTGAGCGTGTGCACGTAGAGCCGCAGGTACCAGGGCACAGTGTCCAGCAGCAGCACGGGGAAGGCGCGGTATGGGTGGGTGTTGTACAGCAGGGTGCTCAGCTGCCCCTTCTGCAGCCCGTAGCCACTCACATAGTGCTGGGCGTGCAGGAAGGGCACCGGTGGGGCCTTGCTCTCTGGGGTCTCTTCCACTTGAGCTGGAGGCTGAGAGAGCTGTCGAGCAGGGCTGTGTCGAGCAGGTAGACTGCATAGGTCTTTCAGCTGCCCAGGATGACGTCCTGGTACGTGGTGGTGGGTAATGGTGTGCATCAGTGGCATGATCAGGGCCTCGGCCTGCAGGTGGAAGTGGTCCAGTGTGGCCCATGCTAGGGTGGTGGCGCACAGTGGCGAAGGGAGATTTGGCTCCATGGAGGAGCGAACAAGGCCAACAGCAGGGTAGGTGTGGTACTCAGGGTGAGGCCCTGAGATGACAGGGGCAGCCAGTTTCCAAAGGTGGGGTCCCAAGCTCAGCTCCTACAGGGGAAGCCCTCCAAGGGGACACGGGGTCTGGGCTGACTTTTAAGAGGCAGCGGGCTAAGAAAAAGACCACCTGGGAGTCTGAAAGAGAAAGGGGAGGAAGATGATGCAATGGGCTGTGCAGGCATGGTCGTGGTTCTTAGCATTCTGCAGCAGAGGCTGGTAACTGGATGGCCAGTAGAACATTCACTGGGCAGTATCGGTGTGGATATGGCCAAGAAAGAGCTCCTCCACCGGATGGTCCAGGTTGTGGCACAGGTACTGCTTCTCCACCCAGACCAGCTGCAGCTCATGCATGTGAAGTTCACGGCTTTGGTGTACTCTCAGCCATTCTCCTCCCACCACAGGTCGTAAGCCACGTCCTGCACCCAGGGGGTCCCTGCGGCCAGGAAGCCCGGGCACAAGTGGTTCATGCGCTGGCTGAGCTGCTCAGTGACCACCTCTGAATGGCAGATGACCTGTCCGCTGTGCAGCTGGCAGTCAGCTTCCATGCCACCACGGATGATCCAGGAGGCCTGGCGGAGGTGGATCTTGCCTCGGATGATGAGGGTGTAGGTGGGGTTTGTTGCATTGGTTGCTGCCATAATAAAACTGGTAGGCCTGAAAAGTGTTGTTGTGGTAGAATCTGTAAGACCGGGTGATGAACTCTGGACCCGATCTGACTTCGGGTCTGACTCCACCTGGCCCATGGAGACCCAGTGGCCCTCAGTGGTGGGTGACATCTGCACGGTGATGTGCACGCCATTGTGCAGATGTTTCAGCATGTGATGGCACTGGGATTCCTTGAAAGCCCTCCAGGCGCTCTTGTCCAAGGACCTAGGATGGGTCCTGCTGTCTAGATGAGGGAGAGCAGAACCCTCTCCCAGCCTGTGCAGCAGGAGGGCCAGGAACAGGTATCTGAACAGGAGGCGACACGTCCAGGACATCTCCAGTGCTCCTCGGGGCGCACCCGCTTGCCACCCTCCAAACTGGTGCTTGTACAGCCCTGCAACTCGGCGCGCACCACCCTCCGCCTCCAGCTGGGTCCAGCGAGTATTCAGGCATGGGGTGTGTGCCGACACCACTCCTCGGCTGTAGCCTGCAGGCAGCCAGAATAGACCCTGGCCTCAGGTGGCTGCAGAGCACCCCATACCCGGTGGGCACAGTGCAGTGGTGCGAGGCACGCACTTGCTCGGCACTGTCAGGCCAGGGTCCATGGCCGGCCCGCGTCCACGTCATGGCCTCTTGGCGAGCCACCCCGGCCTCTCCTCGCCCGGCCCTGCATTCCCCACTTTGTTCGGCAGTGGAGAGAGGGGCCCGGAGCTGCAGCCCTCCCCTTCCTCCACCCGCGGCCCCCGCCCAGGCTGCCAGCCCCAGCACTTACTGCCATCATCCTCCGGGTCCGCGCCGCCACTCGACCCAGCAGGTGGCAGCTGTCAGCCCCATGCCAAGGAAACTGCTGGCCTGGGGCGACCCCTGCCACTGCCACTCCAGCTCCTGTGGTCCCCACTGGGCTCCATGCGTGATGATCCTTCCGCACAGTGTCGTGTGGGGACTCTGCCTGGCCCCAGGAGCAGCAGCACCAGCAGAGAAAGTGGCATAGCCGCTGCCATGCCAGTGGCTGCTCCCACATAGGTCATCTCATTTCTCTTCCCTCCTCCTGAGCAACCGCAAGGGTCCAGATCACGTAGCTCCCTCCGTGGCTCTACATAGGGGGAGGCCACCTCTGCCCCCGGGAGGTATGGGGGGGGTTCCAGTCCTTCTGGGGCAGATGGGCTAGGTGGAGTGACTTTTACTTTCGTTTTTGCTTCCTGATTACTCTTAGCCCATTCTCTTTCCCCGCCATCTTCCTCTGAGTCATTGGGCTCTCCCAAGTCCTGTAAGGCCTTTAAGGCCGAGTCCTCTTTGGACGAAACTGCATTACCCATACTGAGGGTTTCACTTACCCTGAGAGACTGCTTAGCCTCAACCGAAAAGTTACGGTTCGAGCCCCACGTTGGGCGCCAGATGCAGGGTCTTAGTTCACCCGAACAAGGATGGACTGAGTCTGAGGAAAGGTAAGTGCGCCACTTGCCCGTTCCACAGCCTTCTGATCCCAGAGACAATCAGATGAAGGGGGCGTCAAGTCAAACAAGAACCCGTTTATTGCACGCATAACAAAGCCTTTTAAAGCACCAAACTGCAGAGTCATTGGGGCAGGGCATAAGGACCAACCAATCACTTAAAAGGTCAGTTTATGGGGCAGTTTTTTATAGGACTAGCCATATGTCTATACACTTGTCATCAGTTGTCGTCACTTCCCCTGATGTTGTGTGGCCAATTAGCTTTGGGTTCCACCCACCTTACTTCCTTTGGGCACCATCTTTGAATTTCCTCATGTGCCTAATTACCCGCACATAGACAGAACTCTTCCATCACTGGTTCCCTCTCTAGATGCCCACAAAGGCCAGGGCTGGACCAAGCAAAGCTGGCAGCCAGGAACTCAATTCAGGCCTCCCATATGGGTGGTAGGCACCCAACTACTTGAGCCATTTAACCTGCTGACTCTCAGGTGTGCATTAGCAAGAATGTTGGAATTAGAAGCAGAGCTGAGACTCAAAACCAAGTGCTCTGATACGTGAGGCAGTGATTCCAAGAGACATCCTAACTGCTATGCCAAACACCTGTCCCTAAATTTATCTCTTTTTTTAAAGATTTATTTACTTGAAAGAGTTACAGAGAGGCAGAGAGAGAGAAAAGTCTCCTATATGTTTGTTCACTCCCCATTTGGCCACAATGGCCTGTGCTACGCCGATCAGAAGCCAGGAGCCAGGAGCTTCCTCTGGGTCTCCCATGTTGGTGCAGGGTCTCAAGGACTTGGGCCATCTTCCACTGCTTTCCCAGGCCATAGCAGAGAGCTGGATCAGAAGTGTAGCAGCCTAGACTTGAATTGGTGGCCATATGGGATGGCGGCACTGCAGGTGGACGCTTTACCCGCTACGCCACAGCACTGGCCCCCGCATTGATATCTGAGGTTGATAACACACCCTGTTATCAACCAGTTTTGTCATCTACCTGTTCCTCAGCCCCTACCTTCAACTCCTGACTTGCAGCCCAGCCTCTCTTTTGCACTTCTTAAGACCTCCAGATCACCCCATGGAGGATACTGCTACCCTCCTCATCCACTGGTAGATAATTAAACTTGCTCTTTCTTTCATCCTCCAGCTTTGTCCTCGTTAATCTGGCACTGTTGATGAGGACTTAGATTTCAGTAACACTTCCACTAATGAGAGTCCATACTCCACATGTTTAGACTTCTCTCAGCCAGACAGGACAGACCTGATGTCAAAGCTCACACACAAGGAAGAACAGGGAAAGAACACTCAAGGCTGCCTGGTGCCCAGGCTTTAATTCTAGGATACCACTTATTCCTATTTTTCAAAAATGGAACTCTTCCTGGTACATCTCTTCCCTTTTGTTCAGGAAAAGAGATGATAAGAGACCACCTGCTGGTGAAACAAGCAAACCTAAATTTCCATTATTTAAAACAAAAAGGACAAATAGATTTCCAGGATGTGGGCCAATGTAGGAAACATGGGGCTTGGCACTCACAGCTTCATAACAAGAGAAAAGCTTAACAAACTGAAAATTAACTTTTCTTGGATACACGAGAGATGAGGTCACAGACAAAACATCCCTCCAAAAACAGATGTGACTGGCAGATCAAAGAATCACAGCTTTCCCCAGGCAGAGGCCCCTGCTGGAGGTAGAACGTGGGTGGGAAATCACAAATGGTAATAGGTGAATCCTGGGGGTCAATGTGGACAAGCTGAAGTGTTGAAAACTCCTGGGGCTGGCATTGTGCATAGTGGGTAAAGCTGCTGCCTGCGATACCAGCATCCCATATGGGCACCGCTTTAAGTCCCAGCTGCTCCACTTCTTCTCCAGCTCTCTGCTAGTGTGCCTGGGAAGGCAGCAGAGGATGGCCCAAGTCTTTGGGCTCCTGTGCACACCCACATGGGAGACCCAGAAGAAGCTCCTGGCTCCTGGCTTCAGATTGGCCTAGTTCCAGCCGTTGTGGCCATTTGGGGAGTGAACCAGTGGATGGAAGACCTCTCCCTCTCTCTCTCTCTCTCTCTCTCTGTCCCTCTCTCTCTCTAACTCTGCCTTTCAAATCAATCAATTGCATGTGCAAAGGAAGTAAAATCACCCCTAGATGAAGTATTTGCAGTCCCAGGTTCATTGACATGTTAGTCACCATTGCCCAGCCAGAACAATTAGAGAAGAAAAAGAAACTAAAGGACCCCAGCTGGAAAGGAAGATGTGAAATTATGTTTGCATTAGGTATGATCATATATGCATAAATTTTTAAAATAAATGATCTACTTGCCTATTTGAAAAAGAGAGAGAAAGAGAGAGGGAGAGTGAGAGAGAATCTTCCATCTGCTGGTTCACTCCCCAAATGTCTACAACAGCCAGATCTAGGCCAGGCCAAAGCCAAGGACCAGGAACTCCATCTAGATCTCCCACATGGCTGCAGGGGCCCAAGCACTTGGACCATCTTCCACTGCTTTCCCAAGACCCTTATTAGCAGGAAGCTGGATTGGAAGTGGAGCAGCTGGGATTCCAACCAGTGCTCTTAACCCACTTTATCCACTGCACCACAACACCTGCTACACAAAAAACTGTGAAGCCTCAACAAAAGTACTGTTAGAACTAGATAGGCTCAGGGCCAGCGCTGTGGCGCAGTGGGTTAAAGCCCTGGCCTGCAGTGCTGGCATCCCATATGGGTGCTGGTTCTAGTCCTGGCTGCTGCTCTTCCAATCCAGCTCTCTGCTGTGGCTTGGGAAAGCAGTAGAGGATGGCCCAAGTGCCTGGGTCCCTGCACCCATATGGGAGACCCAGGAGAAGCTCCTGGCTCCTGGCTTTGGATCAGTGCAGCTCTGAACATTGTGGCCATCTGGGGAGTGAACCAGCAGGTGGAAGACCTCTATCTCTACCTCTCTCTCTCTAACTCTGTCTTAAAAATAAATAAATCTTAAAAAAAGAACTAGATAGGTTCAGTAATATTGGAGGGCACAAAGTCAACATATGAAAAGCAATCATGGGGACAGCACCATGGCTCAGTGGGTAAAGCAGATGCCTGCAGTGCGGCATGCCCTATGGGCACTGGTTTGAGTCCTGGCTGCTCCACTTCTGATTCAGCTTCCTGATAATGTGCCTGGGAAAGCAGTTGAGGATTACCCAAGTGTTTGATCCCCATACCCACCTGGGTAACCTGAAGGAAGCCTGGCTCCTGGCTGCCCAGCTCCAGCCATTGTGGCCATTTGAGGGGTGAACCAGTAGATAGAAGATCTCTCTATCTCTGTCTCTTTTTCTCTCTCTGTAAATCTGCCCTTCAAATAAATAAATAAATATGAAAAAGGCTATCATATTTCTGCACACAACAATGAATTGTCTAAAAAGTAAATTAAGAGAATGTCACTCAAAAGTGTCATTGAAAAGAATAAAATTCTTTTTTTAAGATTTACTTATTTATTTTAAAGTCAGAGTTACAGAGAGAAGGGGAGAGAGAGAGAGAGAGAGAGAGAGAGAGAGAGAGGTCTTCCACCCACTGGTTCACGCCCCAGATGACTCCAATGGCCAGAGATGTGCCAATTCGAAACCAGGAGCCAGGGAGCTTCTTCCAGGCCTCCTACATGGGTGTAGGGGCCGCAGGACTTGGGCCATCTCCTGCTGCTTTCCCAGCAGAAAGCTGGCTCAGAAGTGGAGCAGCCAGGACTCGAACTGGCATCCATATGGGATGCCCGCACTGCAGGCAGTAGCTTTACCCACCATGCCACAGCACCAGCCCCAAATAAAATTCTTAAGAATAAGCTTAACCACAGAGATGAAGAGTTTCACATGGATAACTGCAAGTCAGAAACAAAAGAAAGAAGATCTAAGCAGAAAGAAAATAACCCCAAGATCAAGGATTGAAAGGCTATTAAGAGGACACTATTACCTGTTCCTAACTCCCAGCACTTGTGAAGGTGGCATCATTTGGAAATAGTCTTTGTGCATATAATTAAGATCAGGTCATAGTTGATTGTGATGGCCCATAATATGATAGGACTGGTGTCTTTCTTTTTTGACAGGCAGAGTTAGTGAAAGAGACAGAGAGAAAGGTCTTCCATCCATTGGTCCACTCCCCAAATGGCCGCTATGGCCAGCATGCTGTGCCAATCCAAAGCCAGGAGCCAGGTGCTTCCCCTGGTCTCCCATGTGGGTGCAGGGCCCAAGCACTTGGGCCATCCTCCACTGTGTTCCCGGGCCACAGCAGAGAGCTGGACTGGAAGAAGAGCTCCCGGGACAGAACCGGTGCCCCAACCAGGACTAGAACCCAGAGTACTGGCGCCGCAGGTGGAGGATTAGCCTAGTGAGCTGCAGTGCTGGCCTGGACTGGTGCCTTTTAATAAATTGATTTATTTAAGGAATTTATTTGAAGGAGAGAGAGAGAGAGAAATAGAATGGAGGGAGAGGGAGAGAGAAAGGGAGTGGGGGGAGGCAGAGGGAGCTCTCCCCACCATGGTTCACCCCTCAGATGCCCACAGTGCTGAGGCTGGACCAGGCTGAAGTCAGGAACCAGGAGCTCCATCCAGGTCTTCCACAGGGGCAGCAGACACGGAAGCACTCGAGCCATCGCCTGCTCCCTTCCTAGATGTGCATACGCAGAAAGCTGGGTTGGAGGCAGAGGGGAAACTCGAACCCGTGCACTCTGAGGGGATGTGGGTGACCCGAGGTGGGGACTCAGCCCCTGCACCCCATGCCCACCCATCCAAGCGCGAGTTCAGAACACACGTGTCCCCTCGGCTTTGGGGAGCACACCTGCATTTTCCAGGGTCGGCCCTGTGTCTCGGATTCAGTCTCTGGCTTTGAACTTGGACCTCTTCCTTGGAGTTTCTCCTCAAGCCCTGAGCCAGGGACTTTACCTCCTGGAAGGGCAGGTGACACCTGCACAGCAGGTGCGTGGAGGGCAACGTTCTTTTTCCACCACGATGCCAGAAAAAGCCCCTCTGCTATTTCCGGTGAGCGCGAGAGCCCTCACTGCTGAGGGTGTCCTCTGTCTGCTTCCCTCTCAGAGAAGCCACACTAGTCTTCTGCCCATGGCTGCTTTGGAGCCAAGAGTCCTTCACGTCCTGGCCATCACCACTGCCTGCAGGGGTCTTCCTGCCTCTCACTCCCACCATGGATTCCCAAGGCCATGCTCCTCATTGGAAATCATGGAAAAGGAGTTTTATTAACCATGTATTTATTTATTTATTTGAAAGGCGGAGACAGAAATAGGGACAGAGAGAGAGAGGTCTTCCATCTGCTGGTTCACTCCCCAAATGGCCACAACTGCCGGGACTGGGCTGGCCCAAAGCCAGGAGCCAATAGCTTCTTCCAGGTCTCCCATGTGGATGCAGGGGCCCCAGGACTTGAGCCATCCTCTGCTGCTTTCCCAGGCACATTAGTAGGGAGCTGGATCAGAAGAGGAGCAGCTGGGTTTCAGGCCAGCACCCGTAGGGGATGCTGGCCCTGTAGGCAGAGGCTTAACCTACTATGCCACAGTGCTGGCCCTGGAAAAGTGTCTTGTAACCACCTCCTGGTGTTTTGATAACTGGGCACTCAGGCAGATTGGCCATCACCAGGGCTCAGGGCTCAGGTCCTCATGTATCTGCCTCCCTGTTTCCTTATTATCATGTTACAATGGTTTATTTGACAGGGAAAGGGGTAGAACTGGAGAGACATATCTTCTATCTGCTGGTTTGTTCCCCAAATGGCTGCAACAGCCAGGGCTGGACCAGGTCAAAGCCAGGAGGCGGGAACTCCATCCAGATCTCCCATGTGGCTGGCAGGGACCCAAGTACCTGTGCCATCATCTGCTGCCTCCCAGTAAAGCTGGATTGGAATCACAGAGTGGCCAGGACTTGAACCAGGCACTCAGACATGGAATGTGACATCCCAAGTGACAGCTTGCTGTGCCAGTTTTGAGGTGACACAGTTCAGTCCTAAGAGGACCAAGGGGAACCTGCTCTGTGGGCTGGAGAGTGGGCAGGGCTAGGAGTCTGGGTTCCCCTGGGGTCTCCTTCTCAAGACTCCAGTCACTCTACTTCAATCTTAGGAGGGACAGGAGCTGGGCTGAAGGCATGCCTAGGGCGAGGAAGGGATCAGAACACCCTATTCTCTCCAGGGCCTGTGAAGTTAAATGCACAGAACCGCTGGTCCAAGTGAGAGAGGAAAAAAATGCATTCACTCTTCTGCACGGGAGAGTGGCAGGACCTGCAGATACTTCCTGGAAAGGGCTGTTTCTGGCTTTGTGGCCAAGATGGTCTCTGCCACTACTCAACTGTGTCCTTGGAGCGAGAAAAGAAGCCACAGACAGGGGCTGGTGTGGGGGCACGGTGGGGGAGGCTGCCACCTGTGGTGCCTGCATCCCATATGGGCACAGGTTTGTAGTGTCCCAGCTGCTCCTCTTCCGATCCAGCTCCCGTCTGTGGTCTGGGAAAGCAGCAGAAGATGGCCCAAGTCCTTGGACCCCTGCACCCACATGGGAGACCCGGATGGAGTTCTTGGCTCCTGGCTTCAGGGGCTGTTGTGGTCTTCTAGGGGAGTGAACCGATAGATGGCGGATTCTCTCTCTCTCTCTCTCTTTCTCTCTCTCTCTCTCTCAACTCTGCCTTTCAAAATAAATAAATACATAAAATCTTAAAAGGTCACAGACAACAGGTGTGTACTGAGCAGGTGCTGTCAGCAGCCTGAGGCTGTGTCTTCTCTTTCCAGTTCGCTGGGCATTTAAAGTGGGACAGGAAAAGTTATTTCTGAGGGCCCCAGCTCCCTCTGAGGGGGAAGCTGAGGTCACTCCCAGGAGGGACCCGAGCCCACCGGCTGCCGTCCTGGGCCCCGGCCTGGGAGTCTCCAGCAGGTGCTTCCTCCCTCAGAGGCTGCCACGGAGCAAGACCAGAGCCACAAAGGCTGTTCCTGTAACTGACACTGCAAACCAGTGAAAGCCTGGGATGGTAGTGACCAGGGACCGGGGCGTGTAGGGTCCCACCCGTCGGAGCAGGGAGGGAGCTGCCGGCTCAGAGTGAAGACCCCAGGAGTGGAGGTCATGGGAGATTGTGCTGTGTGGCTAGGAACCATGTCCTGGATTCCACTTTGGCTCCTGCTACTTGCCCAGTGCGCAGGTGAGGGAACTGGGAACCCCCGGAGCCCAAGCCCCCTGCCCCTGCGCGCCTCTTGCCCTGCCCCATGTGCTGAATTTGGCCCCCAGGTGGTGGCCCTCAGCCGGCCTTGCACCAGCTGCCAACCGCGTCTTCGGCCCTGGGGACCACGGTCCGTCTTGCCTGCACCCTGAGCCGCGACCACAGCGTGGGACTACACAGCATCTTCTGGTATCAGCAGAGGCCGGGCCACCCGCCCAGGTTCCTGCTGCGGTACTTCTCGCACTCCAACCAGCTCCACGGCCCCGGGATCCCTCCTCGCTTCTCCGGATCCAAGGACATGGCCCGGAACAGCGGCTACCTGATCATCTCGGAGCTGCGGCCGGAGGATGAGGCTGTGTATTATTGCGCCATGGGCAGCCTGGCGGAGGAGATAGAGAGGAAGAGAGGGGAGGAAGAGGAGCCTGCGGCCTCAGGGTCCCAGGTGCCCAAGGACAGCGCACCTTGAGGTGGAGACACCAGGATCGGTGCCCCCTGCCAGTTCCAGGAGTCCCCAGGCCACCCCGGAGTGTCTCTTGGCATGGGCAGTGTTGCTGGAAGCCCCCCGGGTTGGAGGCTGGGGTAAGGGATTAAAGTTCCTATGTCTTGAGAAGTCTCGGTGCTGTGTTTTGCTGGACACCAGGATTGGCACCCCCTTAACTTGGAGAGAGGCCGGCGTGGGGGGAAGGAGGTGCCCCCTGCCGGCCCCAGGAGTCCCCAGGCCGCCCCGGAGTGTCTCCTGGCACAGGTGGTGTTGCTGGAAGCCCCCCGGGTTGGAGGCTGGGGTAAGGGATTAAAGTTCCTATGTCTTGAGAAGTCTCGGTGCTGTGTTTTGCTGGGCACTGGACAGGTCAGGATGGGCGGGGCGCAGTTGCGAGCCAGGATCCCAGAGAGCCTGGCCATTACGGCTGGCTTGGCTGGGCAATGTGGCCGGGGGCTCACCCCAGATCACAGCGCTGGGGTGGGGGAACAGCTGACCAAAGCACCTGCGTTCTTGGTGGGGGTGGGAAAGGGACATCTTTGCCAAGGGCGTGCCTTTCTGTAGGCATCAGCTGACTCATCAGCTGAGTTTACAGGGCTAATGAGCGTAGGGACACCTTCCCTGGGTCTCTGGGGGAGGTGACCTGGGGGTGCAGGGAGCTCCACCTTGGTTCTATTGAGATTCTGGGCTAAATAGTTCTCAGCTGTGGGGCTGTCCTGTGCATTGCAGGATTGGCCTCTGCCCACCAGCTGTGTCACTCCTCGGATTGTGCCAATCCCACGGGTCTCTAGACGTCACCAAGTGTTGCCAGGTGTGGCAGAGTCTCCCCAGCTGAGAAGCACCCATCTAAGGGAGAGCAGTGCCTTCACTCTTGGGCACAGAGCCAGGATTTGTTTGTTTTTTCCTGGAAAGGGCCAGGGAGTAAGTATTTTTGACCCCGTGGGCCGTTGCAGATGCTCAATGCTCAGTCGCAGCCAGAGATCATGGGAGCCCGCGCTGGTGCCTGTGCTCCTCAGATCTCACTTACAGAGCCAGGTGGGGCTGCCGGAGGTGTGGCCACTGGGGCCATAGTGGGCCACCCCTGCTCTGCAGGACCCACCCCCCACCCCCAGGTCCCGCCTCCAAAGGCTTCAACCAAGCCTTTGCTTCCTGGGATCATCAGGGTCCCCTTCAGCTCCTCCTGTGACCCCAACTTGGGTGAGAACGTCCACTAGGATGGTAAAAAAGACCCCGAGAGCCCCTCCTCCTCTCCAACCAGAGACGGACACATGTCAATACTGGCTGGTCCCCACGTGCTGGTGGCCTGCCTGTGGTCAAACTGCTGTCAGCTCACGGCAGGCCCCGGGGACCCTGTGTTCTTTCACTTCCTCGAATGCACAGAAGTTTCAGGCTCCCCCTGCCCCTGGCCCCACCCCCAAGGTCAGCCACGTGGCCTCCAGAAAAACACCATCTTCTGCCTGTCACCCCCGCCCCCCATTCATACTCTGTGACTCCGGGATTCTGTGCTAGCACAACAAATCCAGGACAACTGTCCTGGGCTCCATTATCCTCCACGAGGGTTCGACCTTGGACTTGGGCTGTTGTTCAGCTGCAGGGAGGGGCTTAGCTCTGTTGGCCTTGGAGGTTTCACCAGGTAGCATGTAGATACGTAGGCTAGCGTGGATTCATTTTACGCGAAGCATTTAGCCCTGGGGTTGACTGTCACAGGCACTCCACAAAACGCCACTGCCACCCTTTCCTCGCCAGTCACCAGCCTGTCTTTTCCTTCCCGCTGAGTCAGGTCCAGCCTCAGCCATTATCAGGCCTCGGGCCGCCCCCCACTCCTCACCTTGTTTCTGCCTACTTAAGCTGATGGCAATCACAAACACTGATTCCCTTGGCGGCCTCCCAGCCTCCGCCCAACTGCTTACTTGGAGGAAGGATTCGCTGGCCCTTGGCAGCCGCCGGCCCAGGGTTCCACCATTCCTGCAAACCTCAGCTCTTGGGCAAGACCCCCAGAGGGAGCAATGACTGGCTCCCTCTGGTGCGCCAACAGCACGTTTTCCTACCTCGATCCAGCCCCTCCCCCACACCTCTACATCTATCTAGGGAGACTCCCCGCGCCTCCACGGGCCTGCAAATTGTCAGCGGTTCCGCACCTGACGGGCATTAGGAGAGCCGAGCGAATCAATGAGTGAGCAGAGGAAGGCACGACTCAGCGAATTATCCTGATTCTGGGATCCAGATTACAGTGGCTGGGGCCATCGTAAGGCCCTACGGAGGGAGAGCCAGCCCAGACAGCCCCTGTCATGTTAGTGAATGGCCACACACACAGCCTGTCATATTAGTGAATGGCCACACACACAGCCCCTGTCATATTAGTGAATGGCCACACACACACAGCCCGTCATATTGGTGAATGGCCACACACACACACACACAGCCTGTCATATTAGTGAATGGCCACACACACACCCACAGCCCCTGTCATATTAGTGAATGGCCACACACACACCCACACACACTTCTGATTTGCCCTGCCTATGAAGTGCAGGGATAGGCAAGTTTGAAACAGGCCAATGCAGAGAACTTTCTGAACTGTAATGGGGGGAGGAGGTATCAGGAGAGGGGTTCTCAGATTGCCAGAGTCCACCCCCCAGTAAAGACCCCTACAGGTGCCCACAGGGCCTGAACAGGCCAAAGAAGGGCATGGGGGTACTGAGAGTTCCCGCTGTTACCTGGAGGGGGCAGGCAGAGGGTTCCTGGCTCCCGGGCCCAGGTTAGGAAGATGGAGATGAGGCCCACCTGGAAGCCCCTCCTGGTGCCCCCGTCTGCGCACTTGCCCCTGGGATTGTGTGCACCTGCTGCTGCCCTGCCTGCCATGGCCCCGACACCCTGCCTCCCTCTTCCCCCGTGGACACTGTGGCTTTTGTTGTGTGTTGACTGTGTCTGGACCCTGAGAAAAACCCATCTGGAGAAAAACAGATCAAAGGTTCTAGATTTTTCTATCTGATGAAAACAGCTGTGTTTACTTTGGTTAAAAGTGGCGATTTTTATAAATGATGGAGACTATATTAGATGTAATTACAGACAGTACCTTTAAAAATTCAATACATCTTTTGCATTTTGGCCATGTCTTTTTTTTTAAGATTTATTTATTTAGTTGAAAGGCAGAGTTACAGAGAGGCAGAGGCAGAGAGAGTCTTCCATTCTGTGGTTCACTCCCCAGATGGCCACAATGGCCACAGCTGAGCCCATCTGGAGCCAGGAGCCTGGAGCTTCTTCTGGGTCTCCCACGTGCGTGCAGGGGCCCAAGCACTTGGCCCCTTCCCTTCTTTCCTTCTTTGCTTCTTTCCTTCTCTCCTCCCTCTTTCCCCCTTCCCCCCTTCCCTCCTTCCCCCCTTCCCCCTTCCCCCTTCCCTCCTTCCCTCCTTCCCCCCTTCCCCCTTCCCTCCTTCCCCCTTCCCTCCTTCCCCCCTTCCCTCCCTCCCCCCTCCCTCCTTCCCTCCTTCCCTCCCTTCCTCCCTTCCCTTCGTTTTTAATGACTTACAAAGGCTTTAGGTAGAATTAGTTCTCTTTGAATACAGTAACTTTTAAAAATTACCTCAACTCAAAGCTGAACATTCCCAAAGTTTTTTTTATCTTTTATTTAATGAATATAAATTTCCAAAGTACGACTCATGCGTTACAATGGCTTCCCCCCCATACCGTCCCTCCCACCCACAACCCTCCCCTTTCCCACTCCCTCTCCCCTTTCATTCACATCAAGATTCATTTTCGATTATCTTAATATACAGAAGATCAGCTTAGTATACCTTAAGTAAGTATTTCAACAGTTTGCTCCCACACAGAAACATAAAGTGAAAAATAATAGATGATTTTTTTTAAATGATGATGAAATCAGATCAGACCTATTGTCATGTTTAATCCCAGTGAGAGTCAAGTTGGGAATTGATAATTTCTTTTTTTTTTTTTACAGAAGATCAGTTTAGTGTACATTAAGTAAAGATTTCAATCGTTTGCACCCCCATAGAAACACAAAGTGAAATATACTGTTTGAGTACTCATTATAGCATTAAGCCTCAGTGTACAGCACGTTAAGGACAGAGATCCTACATGAGGAGTAAGTGCACAGTGACTCCTGCTGTTGACTTTACAAATTGACACTCCTGTTTATGGCATCAGTAATCTCCCCATGCACCAGTTATGAGTTTCCAAGGCTATGGAAGCCCCTTGAGTTCTCCGACTCTTATCTTGTTTAGACACGGTCATAGTCAAAGTGGAGGTTCTCTCCTCCCTTCAGAGAAAGGCACCTCCCTCTTTGAAGACCTGTTCTTTCCACTGGGATCTCACTCACAGAGATCTTTTTGCCAGAGTGTCTTGGCTTTCCATGCCTGAAATACTCTCATGGGCTTTTCAGCCAGATCTGAGTGCCTTTAGGGCTGATTCTGAGGCCAGAGTGCTATTTAGGACATCCGCCATTCTATGAGTCTGCTGAGTGTCTCACTTCCCATGTTGGATCACTCTCCCCTTTATTTATTCTATCGGTTGGTGTTAGCAGATACTAGACTTGTTTATGTGCTCCCTTTGACTCTTAGTCCTTTCATTATGATCAATTGTGAACTGAAATTGATCACTTGGACTAGTGAGATGGCATTGGTACATGCCACCTTGATGGGATTGAATTGGAATCCCCTGGTATGTTTCCAACTCTACCAATTGGGGCAAGTCAGCCTGAGCATGCCCCAAATTATACATCTCTTCCCTCTCTTATTCCCACTCTTATGTTTAACAGGGATCACATTTCAGTTAAATTTCAACACTTAAGAATAACTGTGTGATAATTACAGAATTAAACCAGTCATATTAAGTAGAACAGACAAAAAAAATACTAAGAGGGATAATGTATTAAGTTGTCCATTAGCAGTCAGGGCTATGCTGATCAAGTCACCATTTCTCATAGTGTCCATTTCACTTCAGGAGGTTTCCTTTTTGGTGTTCAGTCAGTT